CCCTTTTTTTTTTTTCTTTTCCCTCCTGCAGTGTGGAGGGGAGCTAAACCTGTGGTAGGACAGCTTTAGCAGTAGTGGCCTCCTGACTTTGAACCATAGAAAGCTCTTGCCCCGCTCAGGACTCTTCTGGTTGTGAAGTAGAAGGCGGAAGGGCTAGAATGACTCAGTCTTCTTGGCATTTGCCTTTTAACATGGGATTTCTAAAGCAGTAACTGGCTTGTGTCCTCACAGAGAGGTTCAAGCGAAGTGTAACATCCGACTTTAGAGAGAGGCTTAATGGCAATGTGCTCATGAGAATACAGTCTTGTTGTAATGGTTGTGCAGCCTGCACAACTGTCCTTCAGGCAACTCAGACGAGGCTGTTCTTTCTAATGAGCAAAAGATGATTGCTGCATGGAATAACTCTTTATTGCCAGCGTGGAAGGATGGTGTTATTTGCCTAATTAAGAAAAGAGGTTTCCTATTCCCTTTCTCACAAGCATGTTAATTCTACAAAAGCTTATAGTTTCATTCATGGAAGGGAGCTTATAACAACTCATTTCCATTGCTCATTAGCAGTTAGATTTTTTTTTTCCTCCTTCAGAATGATTTTTTGCTCATGGGTAAAAGTTATTATTAAAAGAGGATTGTGAACAGTCTTAAAATTTCTGGCTCCAAATTCAGCTAATTTATGCAGAACTGGACTTTTACTGGTCTGTGTGGATGTTTCTAGGGCTTCCTCTTGGTCTAAAGACCTATTCCTCAGTTTGTCTAGAGCTTTTACTACAGAAGTGTCCTCAGCATGTTAAAGTTGCTCCTGGAGCAGGATGCTGAGTGAAAGAGCTTGGGTACTTCAGTGTGAGAGAACAAAAGGCACTGTTCAACACAGCATCTCGAGGCATAGCCTTTGAGAAAGCAGGCTGGTAAGGGTGGGATAACAGCCTGCATAAGAAGAGGGCCCAGCTCCCTGTGTGAAAGCTGTGGAAAATGAAGGTTTTGGTTGCTGTTCTGGCTAAGAAAAGACTGAGACATGATGGTAGCTGTTACGGAGGCTTAATCCTCTCAAAAGCCAGCTATCCTTGTTATCACCTCTGCAGGTCTTGGTGAGCCCAGCTCGGAGCCTCATGCCATTGTTCTGTATCCCTGTTCTGATCCCATCTTCTCCTTTTTCTGCACCTGGACCAGTACAGTGCTGAGCAGGCCCCAGACCTCATCTTTGAGGCTGTGACATAGGTTCAGTGTCTGCTGGTGAAGAACTGAGAGCTCATGCTGTGCTTCTCTGTGAGTAAATCTAAGGAATGTTTGATTGACCGCCTGAATTGTGTGCTTTCACAGTGGTGACCGTGATAATTTCTTCACCACATTCTCATTCACCATGTCCAAATCTTGCCTTCTCCCCTTCAATCCAGTCTCTTTGTGTATGTGGCTAAAAATCCTTTGTTATTTACTGGTCCAATATAGCTTAATGTTGTGCCCAGTTAAGAGACACTGTGGTGCATTCAAGATTTGAGATCCATCTTGCTGTACAATGTGATTTGGCTGACCTTTAAGAAGGAGACTTATCTGAGTGTGGAGATGGCTGCTTGTGAAGAGCACTTGTAATGGATGACCGGAAAATTCAGAACAGTGCCTCATATGCTGTTTGTTTTCTCACCTTTCTAAGAAATTAATTTTTTATTTTAAGGCTTCAAAAGTCCAGAGAGAGTGCTCTTGGCCTAATAACTTGTACTTTCAGTTGCAACCTCAAAGACCTCTGTCTCTCTATCTATCTAGTGGAACACAACACATAAAATTGTAATAGTTCTCCAAATTGCCTTTATAGCCAGTGAGGATAAATGAGCTGCTCCAAATTGTTCAGCCAACTAAGGAGTGAGCTGAATTGCATCCCTGGTCTCTCAGGAGTCCCTTGGAGCTACTTCTTTTGTTGCCCTGTTAAGAGCAATAGAGGGTGGGTGGGGTGTACTAAAGAAGTGTATGGCTGCATGACTTCATGCTGGTACAGGAGATCTGCTATCCTAAGAAAACCTGTCTCTGGGTAATGGTGGCTCTCTAAGATTTTAAGCAAAGCCTCTTAATTTCACATTGAAAAGGATTTGTCATATAAACACTATCAGATCTGGTGTGCCAGATGGGGGAGCTTGGAATATGCTGATGTGAATGCTAGTAGTCCTCTGACCATACCTCGTCCAGAAAGCCCTTCTGCTTGGGAGCACAGCTGTGACCACCTTACCTGTGGGATTTCTTGGATTCCCAGTGTGACAGGTCCCTCATAGTAGAGGTGTTCTGAAAAACAAAAATGGTGATGGGTGGTTAGAAGTATGGCATGTGAAGGAAACAAGCAGCTGATCATAGATGCTTTTTTGTAATAGCACTTCAAAGTGTTCCAGTGATAAGTGTTATGAAACTGCAAAGTGCTCTATGCAGAGTCCTGCAACAGCCCTCCTGAGAGAAATTTCAGGATGTGTACTGCCTGATGGGGAAGGCAGGGCAGAGCCTGGGCTCAAGGAGGAGGGAGACGCGGCTTTGCAGTGAGGTGGGTGTTCCTATGTTGGTATGCATCCTACAAATGGGGAAATGAAAGGGGAGGGGGATTGCCAGATACAAGTCCTTCAGCATGATCTGTTAAATACCTGCAGCTGCAGTAGTTGAACTGTACTGTTTTGGTGACTTTAAGAAAAAACAATCTGAGCTGAGTATTTCTGTAGGTGTGGACTGCTGACTGCTTGCTGAACAGGACCTTAAAGTAGTAAGAATGTGTCTATCTCACTGCTGAGTGGGTGTCCACCAAAAAGTTACCTGATGTTCTAGAGTCATCACAAGTTGTGTTGCTGCCTGCAATAGACACCCAGGAGCTCCACCTTCCAATCCTCATCTCCCTAATTGCGAGGCATGCTCACTCTTTGCTGTGAAGAAAGGGCAGCTTTGGCAGTAATGGACAGAATTAGCAAGCTGTTCTGCAGTTCCTCCTACTTTTTAGTGGCTTACTGGGACAAGCTGTGCAGAAAATGACTGAAAATGTAATTTGTAGATGTTTCAGCGTTTCAGAATTTCTTTCACAACTTGCCCTCTACAAGTTGTGGAAAAGTCTAAGAACTCTTTAAGGATTCTCTTTTGTAGGTGTCATGAAATATTCTTTACTTTGACAGTGACAGAAAAGTGTTTCATATTTATATGAGTACGTGCTGGCATCTCAATGCTTGTCACTTCTAGAGTTGTTTTATTCCAGTCTCACTGGGCTGGTTTAAACAGTTTCTTGTGAACAGTTGGGCAAAAGGTTTGGAACATAGGTATGTTGTATGGTCCATCCCACCATGCAGTAGGTATCTGACTTGGAGAAGAGTTCACAGAAGGTCTTACCCACACACACACTATGAAATATTAGTCAATACCTTGTAACAAACTTCTATGAAGGAATTATGAGTACGAGATAGACTGAGAAAAGAGTAGGAGAAACCTGAGACATCACCAATGTCCTACACCTTTGCATTAATGAGGAGTTTGTTACATGTAATGCCCTGATGAACCTGAGAGGTGGAGAACATGCAAAATTCTTAGTGTTGCCCTGAAAACCCTTATACCAAAACAGAGAATAAATATGTTTTGGCTTGTTGCACTCAAACTCATTCCTATTTGCATCCCTGACTACTTCACCTGGACACCAAGACGTCTTTTCCTTTTCAAAGAGCCATCACTGTTGCTGCTTGCTTCTGTGCACGAAGCAAGAGCCCTGGAGTCTGACACATCTCTGCCGCAGAGAGCGATGACTCAAGAATTTTAAAAATACAGTACAGCCCACTTCTCAGTTCACAACTTACTAGAGTCTAAATAGGAGTTAAAGGCACTGCAGACTGCACGACTTGGGTGATGAGTGACTCCCTTGGGGCTTGAGCTGTATGTGTGTTGATGTGTGCTAATCCATGTTGTGAGCTGCCCACTCAGGGTGGTGTGGACCAGGCAATGACGTGGCTTGTGGTTTGTGTGTCCTTTGATTCAGTAGAGAGCCTTGTTTGACTGTTTATCCTACAGTCAGCTTTGACCGTAGCAAACCTTGGATGGCAACAGAGGAGAGTGGAGAGGAAACTAGGCTGTGAACAACCACCCTTTCCCAAAGTTCTTCTCCACTGGGACATGGAAACTCCTCTTGGATCATGTGGCTCATTAGGGTCTCGCCTAGGCTGTTGAAATGCCATCCAGAATCTAAACATACAGATGCAGCATTCAAGCCTTGCAAAGCCTATATTTTAAAACGAAGAAGCAGTCATCAGACCATAAATTTGCTTCTGAAATTATGGTAATGCTAATCTCTCTTTCAGTGTAGGTTAAAGCTAATTCTCCCCCCCACACACACACTTTGTTTTGACAAAGTAATGATTACATCAGAGATAGGTGAATGCAGTCTTACGGCTCTGCCTCAGCCCTCTGAGAAGTTTTCCATGATTGCTCTGTTGTGACGATCCTTGCTTCAACAATAAATGGAAAAAGGACTATGCTTTGAAAGTACATCCTGATAGGAAAGCAAGGGCAGCTTTCATTTTCATCTAGTTGAGACCTGCCAGGAAATAATGTGGATCCATAGATCTAATGAATTTTATCATTCATATTTACTTTGGACCATGGCAACCTCCTCAGTGCTTATGCTGGCTGGATCAGACTTTTCAAAGCCCACTCAATGTTCCCCTTGCATGAGGATTTCTGCTATAATTCCAGAAGTGTAAACATCCTCCAAGGCTTTAAGGACTAGTTTATCACAGCATCCTTCATATGCTCATACCTTTTTCTCCATATATTCATATATTTTTGCATTCCTCCATTGAAAGAGAATGAACACACGTGCGGCAGTAAGTGTAACTGTCACAAACACTGAGCCTGGCTCATTGAAAGAAATCTGTGGCCTTTTGAGAACAAGCCCAGATGTAGTTGGAAAAATGTATGAACATTGGAAACAGCATAAATCACTAGTGCATTTTTCCAATCAAAAATTCCCCTATGTCTTTATTGGTCTGCCGGTAAGTTATGGTATTGTCAAGCATGCTGTCATCAGTGATGTGCTTTCAGTCCACCTTCCATTTTCAGCCCTTTTTCTTAAAGACTTAACTGGAGATGATTTCTGTAGAGCATTCTGGAAAACACTTCTAATGTACCACTGATTTAAGATTATATTATTGTATGTGTTGTAGCAGCTTTTCACTATTTTTTCTACCAGAAGTAACTTAGTCCTTTTACCTGCCAGTGAGCAGGCCTCTAGTAGCTTCCAGTCTGAAGCAGAGCTTTCAAATGTGTAAGGAAGAACTTCCTGAGGATTACTTCAAGTTACTAGTTATCATTTATCGTGAAGATGCCTCTCATTCCTGACAAAACACCTATAATGAAATTCTCACTTCTCTTTCTCAAATCTTCCTTGCACTGAAAAAAAATCTTTAAACATTCTCACAGTCTTGTACTATATAAAGGCCCTGTACATCTGCACCCACCTCTTCCTTTTTCTATGTTTTAAATCTTTTTAAAACTTAAATGCTCCATGTTGGAGCTTTTGTAGGATGTGATTTTGCGTCAATGCAACTGACACATGGCTTCTGTAAGTTTTAGGGATGCAGGAATGATCTGAATAACTGCCAGATATAGATGTATAGTTGAGGGATAAAAATGTATATAAATACATAGCAGGGTGAGAAAAACCCTCCCTTTTTACTGGGGAGGAAAAGGTGAGATGGAGGGGCTGAGCAAGACAATATTGTGTATCAGCCCAAAGACCTGGCTTTGTGGTGTGGCTGCTTGCTCCTGTACCTAAGCTCTCAATGTGGTACCCAGTTCTGTAATTCATGCTGTTTTCTCTACTTTTATTCACAAATGCTATTTTAGAAACTTGCTCACTGTAACACCCATCAAAAGAGACAATAATGTAAAGAATGGAGGTCTGGAGCAAGGGGGATTTTCTCTACGGTTTGGGAGTGTGCACAAGGAATCATGCAAGATCTCTGGTGCCTTTATCAGTTGGGGCTGAAAGTTACATTCTCCACAAGTTTTCTATCTTTTGTCAGGAAGTTTTGTTTAAGCCTAAAAGTTGTGGTCAGCACACTGCAAAATATTACCCTCTCAGGTCTTTTTCTCTGATTTTAGTGATTGCATTGGGAAATTTGTTAAATCTTATGTAACTGTTTTATTTGGAGAAAATGAGGAATAACCAGTACTTTCTACTAAAAAGAGGAAGAGCTGCATTCATGTTATCCACAATAGAATTTAGCAGGTTTTGTTGTTGTTATTCTTAAATGGACAAATAGCCCATTTCCTTGCAACCTTTGAGCTAACAACTTCACAACAGGCATCTAGTTGAAAGAAAAAGATCTTGGAATCCTCTTTCGGAATTCCAGAGGTGACCTTTGCTTAGCATAAATAGCAAATACTGTATGATTATAATGAACATGAAACTTCCAGCTATATTAAGTCTCTTAAAATATTTACAGTCATGTCAAAACTCTAGGATTATAGGAGAGAAAAGGGGAAAAAAAATCCCAACCCACCACCAAGCACCGAAGACTTTGCCACATCTGGCACTTATAAGTCTCTTCCTTGTAACTTCTGCTATGCTTGCCCACACAAGTGAGGGAGCCAACAAAGCCTGTAGCAGAACTACGTCCTGTCTCTTTCTGGGAGAGGAAGGAATAGGCAATTTTTGTCTTCCTTGTGGAAGGCAAGCAAATTTTGTGTGGAACTATATTTAAGCTTGGGTCAGGTCTGACCAGATTTTGGAAATGTTGCCTGTACAGCAGGGAAAAAGGAGCTCTGCATAAAAAGCTTCAGCTGACAGGGCTGTTTGCTCCTCTGTATCTTTGCTAGGCTGCATGCTCGGCCATTTGAGTGTTGTCTTTCTACGTAGGTATTGGGTCAGATTTACAGCTGTGCTAATATAGTACATTATGGCTGTGCTGAATTGCCTCGAACTGTTGATCAGCTCACTTCTGTGTCCTAAAACATGGGTTAGAATCAAATGTCAACTAATTAAGAAATACCATGTTTTCAGTTTGAACCTTAGTCTGAGGAAGTTCACTTCTTTCCCACTGTGACTTAATTACTAAATAAAAACAGCTACTAAAGAAGAGAGTGTGTATTTAAAAGTGTGTGGCAGAGGTCCTTGCACTAACTTAGGGATACTTCTAAATGAAGATATATAGTGTTATTTAACCAACTATGGTTTTATATCATAATGTACTTCAATTAGCAGAAACAATTACCTGTCAGTTTAAGATTAAGGGATTTGAAAACCTAAGGAGGTTTTGGCTTTGTGGCTTAATGTGTGAATAGCAGTTTGTGCTCAGCTCAGAACTGACTCTATTTCTTCTTATGTATTCTCTAAAGGATGTCATTTAGTACATCGTCAGGATAAGATAGTTTTTCAGTAGGTCTGTGGGTGGGGTTTTTTCCCCTTATAATTCAATACACAATTGAAGAAACCTCTGAATTTAATTTTTTTATCTGGCTTACAGGATTTACATAATTGGTTGCTCATGCAGCATTTCTCTATTATTCTTTGTGATATTTCTATGCTGTGTGAAATCTCTTTGTAATTTTCCAGGGGCTGTATTAGGCACTGTGCATGGTCTTTAATCTCATAGCCCTTGAATGCGAGTTATTGCACCGTTATCAGGATGGAGATGCAAGTATATGGAAGGAAAGCAGAGCTTCTGAAACTAACTGGTGCTCTAACAACTCCGAAACTTCCTTGCAACTCTACCTCTTTATTTTAAAATCAGCCTAAAGATATGATTATGATGCAAGAAGGATTTCAAAATAACCATTTAAGATATGTGGATATTACAGCCCAGAGGCATGACCATAGCTCTTCTGGACACACCATGGCTAGCTTTGCACTGCCTGGCCTGTGGCAGATGGGACCCTGAGGTGATCAGGCTCACCTGGGACCAAAGATACCTGCTTTCTGGGGGCAGCTGATACCACTGTAAACCAACTAGCACAAGTCTGCACCAGCTGGCAGTTTGACTGGCATGAACTGAAATCATCTGGCTGCCACATAGGCACGTGTTGAGCAGAAACAAGATGCAAATCATAGATGGTATCGAGTAGTATCTTGGTCCAAATATCCTTATTCAAGCATAATTCCTCTTAAAGTGAGTTAAGAACTGCCTTTAAGTACAGGAAGCGTTACTTGCTTAATAGTGAAAAATGTGTTCAGAACTCCTTGTTTTGTTTGCTCAGGCATTTCTTTGACAGAAATAAAGGCTAGTTCTGTAATACTTCTTGCGCACATGACAACCATAGGGCTATAAATAGGGCCTATGAACCTCTCTGCTGTTGGATAGGGTCACATTGCCACAGTTATTTTTTATGGACTTGAAATCCCATGTGTGTGCAATATTCTGTGATTAAAAGAAGAGCCAGCAAACAGGTTAGGATAAAAAGCAGGCTCTAAAATTAAAACATCTGTCCTACTGTGTTTGTCATCTATTAACATGCTGTTGAAGTAAACAGAACATTACAATATATTGGTGCGTTCAACAGCACAGCGGGGCATCCTGCTTGGAGTATTCAGCAGCCATCACACACTTAGAGTTCTACCTAAATTACCTCCTTTCTTCTTTCCACAGAAAATAAGCTTAGAATGACCCGGCTCGCAAAGCGTCTCAGAGTAGGTTAAGACAGTCTTCCCATTCATGATCAGCTCAACTTTGACGTACAGTTCCTTGATGCTGTGTCCTACACACAAAACAGAAAGAGCTCAGGGAAAGTGCAAGGGTAAACAGGTTTATTACTTTAGTTTTAAAAAGATTCACTTTTTTTTTCCTCTGATATTTAAGCCACTGAATGTTTTCTCTTCACTGAGAATTCCTGATACACACAAATCTATGCTTCAGGAACAGGTCTCTAAAACCCTTAAGGTATATAACAGGGGATATAATATCATATATCTTTATTAAATAAACTATGCCCATGACCACTCTCTGACCCTGAGGCCAACTGGCATAGTAAAGCGTGTGTCCATATACCTAAACTCTTTCTTCCCTACTGTCCCTAGCAAAAGGACCGTATCCAGTGGGCCCCCAGGAGCAGCCTGTGGCCTGTACTTGCTGCATAGGGAAAAAACCTGTAGCTGATCTGAGCCAGGGACCAGTGTAGCAGCTTGGCAGTGCTGGGAGGTTGTTCACTTTTGCCAGTCTTGCTAATATAGATACAGCCAGTGAGGCTACTGGATTTAGCCGGAGGTCTTGTACTGAGTTGTTGGAAAAGTTATTTGCAAATGCCTGTAATGTGATGTGATTTTGCAGGCTTGTTTAACTTTGCAGCCACCTGAAAACTGGTGTTCCCCAGGCAAAAAGGCAGCATGTCTCACAGGAGGGAGACCTTTTGCATGCAAGGAAGCTTTCCCAAGTGCTAAAAGACACTTGGCACACAACCTTACTTTCAGCACCAGGAGCATGCAGCAGTGGTCTCATATTTGTACTCTGCTAGTAGAGGTTCTAGGTGAGCTTTGGGGCCAGCGGGGTTGCAAGAAGGTGGCTTTCCTGTGCAAGGATCGCAAGTCAAGCTATGGCTGATATTAACTTGTGTACCCAGCCCATCAGCTCAAATGCAGTTCTGCTTTCGACCTCTTATTGCTCATCACTCAAGTTCTGGAGGGTATAGTTTCAGCGAGCACAGGTAATGAGCTGACTGTGTTGCTTCAGGCTAGCACTTCTGCAGAGCTCTGGATCCCCAGCACTCCCCAGCATGCTTCTTTGCCTGGCAGGGAGGTGCCCCCACCTTACTCTGTGGGTGTCCCTTAGTTCAGTCTCCCCACTGCAAAGGTCAGCCTTGACAATTTGGTAAGCACTGTTGATGCTGACACAAAAGTGTCGGTGCTGTAGATGTCTCATTCAACTAGACTGTCCTCAGAAGACTCAGCTGGGAAGACAAGCTCTAGAGCAGCCCCTTGTTGGCCATCCACTTGTACAGATGAAATGTAGGAGAGGAATAGGGGCTGGAGACTGATATGACCTGCTTAGGGTGGCACGTGTAGTCTGAGGCAGAGCTGATAACACAATTGACATTTCTGTAGCCCCACACGGGTTTTGAAATTTCTCAAAAATTAGGGCCATTCATATTTTATCGGAGGTTGTCACCCTTGCTTACTTCTTAGTACCAGCACTCATGCATGAATTACCTGTTTATGGCATGACAAAATAGCAATGCACTTACTTAGGACCATTGCAGCTCTGATGTTAAAGGTGTGGGTCATGATATCAGAACAGCGGTCAATGCTGAAAGCAAAATCTTGCTGGGGATCTGTTTGGAGACAGAAAGCAGGGGGTAACAAGTTACATTTTTAATGAGATGCTGATTGTATAAAAGAAAACAATAAAATGTGTTATAAAAAGCATATTACATATTCCTTAGAAATTCTTTAAGATGTGCTCAAAGCTCCCATACCCTGTGTTTAATAGCCACTTCTGTCCTTCCTGACACTTCAATCCGAAATACATTCATATGATAACCTATATGTGGCCTAAAACCTACCGTTGTGGGAAAATGAGACAAGTTCAGGAAAGCAAGCTCCCCACAGTGGTGGGTAGTCAATACTCATTCAACGGTGAAGTCTTAGTACAGGTGCTCTTCCCAGGCTTTGTGCATCACCATTCCTCCCTCAGCACTGATGAGCAGTTGGTTATGACGATTTTTTTAATTCATTTGTCTCACACAATGGCTTGGCGAGGCTGTCTGGGAAACTGAATCCTGAAGTGGGATGAAAAGTCCAAAAATGAAAATAAAATTGTGTAACATGGATCCTGCAGTGTTTCATGCTGAGTTCACCATCACGTGATATTTCTAACCCAGGAAGTATTCTACATTTCTCCGTTTGTAGGAGAATTTAGCAGAGCTGGGGTCAAAGGGTGCCCAACAGCTCGTAAGTAACATGAACATGGCTCTTGCCTGTTCCTGCAGTACCCCTTTCTCTGCATCAAGCTCCAAATCTCTTGTACAAACATAACTGTTTCCCCCCCACATCCTTCTTTGTTGCCCTCCATGAGACTCTCTGCTATGCCTGAAGGCTTGCCAGCATGTCACTCTCTAGTGACAGCCAGTAGCAGCATCTGACAGCTCAGCTGCCGCAACCAACAGCATGTGTGTTTTCCAGAGCTGTGGATGGAGGTGAAAGATTTGGCCAGTTGGGCAGCATATCATCTTGAGCCTCAAGGCTTGCTTTAGGCGTAGGTTTGTCCCTCATGGGGGGTTTCCAGCCAGCCTGTGCATCCAGTTCCTTCTCTGTGGAAACCAATGAAGCAACTCTGGCATGCTCAGAAACAGCTGCAGGCTCCCCACTTTACATAGAGCTGGTGGTGATGAAATATAGACTTGGGACTTGAATTTTGTTTCTAAGGTATGGTTGCTTGATGTAATCTTCTCACTAAATTGAAAATAATGGGTTGGGAGAATTTTCCTTTGGTGAAACTTGAGTCACGAGTGTCCTCTGTGAGGCTGAGCTAGCATCTCCATAGTCTGACCCTATTTTTGCATCAGTGCCCCAAGCTGTAGCAGTTGGCAGGGACCAAGCCTGGGTGACCAAAGCCTGATTGCTTAGACGGGAGCATGAAATGAGTGCAAGTGCTAGGAGGAGCTGAGGGCTCTGACAAAGACAGGCTCTGCAGCACATGGATTGTCAGTGTGGTCCAAAAGGAATTCCCAAGTCCTAAGTTCCGATAAATTAAAATAGCCTTTCAAAGGAGGGAGATAAAAGTCACTGGTATTTCCTACCTACCTCTGTGTCCCCATACTGGATTTGGTCCTCCACACCACTAAAATGGTCTCCGCAGTTGCATGATCTGCTTGGGACAAAAAGTTGGTGCCTGGAGTTGTTTATCATCTGCTCAAGTGAGACAAGAGTCAGAGGTTTGTCTTTCCTCCCTTTCCAAGTTCCTGCCGGTTATTGCAGCTTCAGAAGCTGTCGCAATCGCCTTGGAGAGCAATTTCCTCGCTCCAGAAGGAAAGCATGTCAAAGTTCTCTTTTCTCCAGGACCGTTATGCCTGCTTCCTCTCTGGTCTGTACCACCTCTCAGGGCTTGGTTTCCGCTTTCCTTGGAACTTATGCAAGAGCCCCTTTCATTTCTGTTCTGTGTGTGGTGCGATGATAACATTCAGGAAGCAGCTGCTCAGATTCAGAGCAACTTGGGCATTGGTGCCTACAAACAGTGCTGGTTGTCAAATGACTAAAATTGTCAGCTCTGTAATTTCTAAAGGGAGGTATGGTCAGAAATGGCACTGCAACATATACAATGCTCTTCTCTTTTCAAAGAGACTAGGCTGTGCTTTAGTCAACAAATTAAATCATGGCGTTAGGGCTAGAAGTTGTATTTTTAGTTCAAAATTTCTCACCGATATCCATTTGGATGGAAAGGGGATGTTCCTGAAATCAAGCTTCTCTGGAAAGCATGGGTTTCTTAACAGTGAACCTGACCTCAGGGTTGTTTTAAATTTGGATGTCACATGCCTGTTTGTTTGTTTGGGTTTTTTTTTTCCTCTATGGGCTGAGTTCTTTTGCCAGATAATGTATTTAATGGTGCATTGTAGCCATGGGTGTCTTCTACTGAACCATGAGTGATGCAGCGTAGGACTCTGGTGTATCCAGAGAAGTGTTGTGTGGTCCCCACAGAGGAAGGGAGCGCAGACGCACTCACAGGAGAAATCCCAGCTAAATTTGTGAATTGGAGCGCTTGGATTTTGTGTTGCTACTCTGTTGCTGAGAAATGTAAACTTTTCCATTGTCAAAAGAAATCCCGATAGTTTTCTGAAATATATGCTATGAGTTTGCAATTCAACGTGTTAGCTATTGTGGCGTACATGGGGGGCTCCTGCTTTTTTAATCAATTGAAAGGATATCTGTGTTGATAAAACTATGGTGCCAGGGAGTCTGGATTCCAAAACATGTAGATAGAAAAGTTGCTGCTAAAAGAAAATCAAAGAAAATAGTGGGTTTTAACCATCTGATGAGTGAAGATGTCTGTAAATTCAGTTGTGCACCATGAACTGAGGTAGTGTGCTATACCCTTCTTTCTTTAAATGTTGAGGAGTCCCTCCTGTGACAAAGGCAACTGGAGGCAATTGCCATTTTTGTGTTTCATCTCAGATGCACAACTGTGAGTCACTGTGTCTCTTATAGAGGTTTAATACTTATTCTTCCCTGTTTGCCTCAATCCGAAGTGAGCTGGTTAGACTGAAAAAAAATGTGTTATGTCTTTCACATGTGCAGAGCAATAACATTTACCGTTAAGTCTCTAAAATATGTGGGGCTGCCCTTCAGCCTTCCACTTCCCTGCAACATTTCATAGTGCACAGTACTGTATGTTCCCAGACTTCCCTCCACCCACTCCCTTCAATCTGCTCCCTCTTCCATAATTGAAGCTAGAAACTCTTCAACTGGTTGCGGTTTTGCTTTTCCAGTTCAGTTTTGATATATTACCAACACCTAAAATGTTGCTGGAGATTCTGCAAGTACGTTGAGGTTTAGCAGTGAGAATCTGCTTGCTGGGGGGGAGGGGGGAAAGGCATTTTTCCGTGTCTCCGTGTTTCTAGTCAGCACGGCTTGGCCTGCCCCATATTTACAGCTAGCATGGAGGTGCCTGGAAGTAGGATTTTGACTGAAGTTTCTCTCTAGACAGTTCTACATCTTTCAGGCAACTGCTCTGAGAAAGAGTCTTTGGCTTTTGTAAACAATCCATGCACTGTAAGATCTCTTAGGCCTGTTTTTGGAACTTGGTGCTGTGGCTGACACTGAGCTCTCGACTGTATCTAGCACTAGATGTACAGCTCTTGCTAAAGACTGGCTTCTGTAGGACAATCTTTGTGAGTGGTGGATTTGGGACGTACCTGGCATCTTGCCACTGATTGCTCCTTATGTGGCATAGTGCTAGCTGACCCCACGCATCCCACCTCCCATTTCACCCTCACCCAAGTACTCCAGTGGAGATTTATTGCAATTTTAGCTTGTTATGTGGTTTTCCTTGCATGCAACCTGTAGTGGCACTGTAGTGTGAGATTTCAGCCTGGCTTACTATTGGAAGGTGCTCACAGTGATGAATTTGAGTGGGTTTTTCTAGAAGACAGAGCCGACATGCGTAGTACAGCTTAGAAGCTCAGGTGAGTTCCTGAACTTTTCTTCCTAGAGTTTCTTTTCCTGCTTTTGTTCTTGGCAGAATGTTCATAGGTAAACTAGCTCAGATTTATTTACGCTGGTGTATCTATGTGACCCTCCTGGCTGCAAGCCTGGTACCTTTGATGGACATCATTACCTTATAATGAGGACAACAGATAGGAACATTCTTTCATGCCTCGGTTATGGCAGTTGTGGGGCCACCAGCTCACGCTCCCCAGGGCTGTGGGCTGGGGTGGCTCTTACACCCCACATGTGTGTTCAGCCTCCTGTGTTGTGGGAGGTGATCTCCAGCAGGAAGATGAAGCAGACAGCTGGGAATGACAATGTACTAACCCACTATGGCTATGTTCCTTGGAGCGTGAGCTGCTAGATGACCAACTGAGCATTACAGGAGCTGCATGGCCAGATGGGAAGCACCTGTTACAGGAATTTTGCTGGGCTGGTATACAACAGCCGCTGTCTTTTATTCTTCTCTCTCTCTCTCCCCATCTTGTTAACTATTCTCTACTGGCTTTACTTTCCTCTGAATCTGCTCTAAAATGCCATTGTTTCCATACAAGCGTGAAAATCAGTGGTTTGAGTGAACAGAGGCAGCAAGCATGCAAGCTTTGCTTGTAGGAGTCCACATTTATTGGTCTTGCAGTGGTGAGAAGACTCTCCAAATTGGTACACTTTGGGTGTTTCAAAATAACACTTTTTAGGAGCAGATAAGCCACAAGATTAAATGGAATGACATAGCTGTACTTGGCTAGGGTCATACAAGGACAGACTAGTGCTAGAGGAGCTGGAAATTAGCACAGGGAAGAAACGTATTCAGTAATTACCCAACAGTTCTCACCTTCAAAGCTCTTAATAAAATTAAATCATTAGTCCTTACAAAATTCAAGGTGCTGAAAGGAGGGGAAAAGAATGAAGAACTGTTTGGGATATCAGACTTTATGTATTCACTCAACATTTTTCCTTTAATGTCTATCTAAATGAATTAACCTGAATGCTCAAGGTTATATTTGACACTGGAATCTACTTATAAGCTACTGAGGAAGAAGCATCAGGTGAATTAGCAGCTCTTCAGTTGTGCATCTGGATTTCCCAGAGCACCTTCAGTTTAACGAACTTGCCTTTGGGCCTGCCTTCACTG